CGGTGTTAAACTTATCTTCTTTACACAACTGTTTCTTTAGAAACACCGACGCAGCTCACACTAGTTTACCGCTAGTTCCCACCATTTTGTATATAGCGTAATGCCGACGTGCGAGGTAACTAACAAACTTAGTTTTTAATTCACGTGGTTTTCGCAAAAACTGAATAGACTAAATGAATGTTTTCTTAGTTGGGATTCGAACAATAGAATCCTTTACTCTTGAGACTTTTCATGGAATGTTGAAATTATATAGTTTCCTTTAAGAAAACCTGTTCCGAGCAATCGGAATTTGAATATTGTTATCAAATATTCTTAAACAGTCATTTCCCTGCTGAAGTATCAAATCGTTCCCCGTCTTTAAGTTTCTATCATGTATACAACCCTATGAATAACAAAGACAAACCTAGTGAATTGGAAACTAATAACAATTATATTCTTTTATTAAACTTTGACTGAAGATAAGTTTGCACAAAAGAAAATTCAAAACTCGAGTATCCCTTGGTTGTGTTACTGCAATTCCAGTTCGAATTTTAAAAATATTTTTTGAAACTCTTTTTACTTATTTTTGTAAAATGAAATGACAGATTATTTGCTTTCTTCTCAACAGAAGAGCAATATAACATATTGTCTCTTTTTGAGCTGTTTTCTATAAAGGTTTTAGGTGCAAGTGAAAATTCTCAAGGGAAAACAAACCAGAGGAGTTAGTACTCTGCCGATACTCTGCGAACAGAGCTACTTTTCTCACCCGCCAAGAAAAGTAGCTCCGTTCGCAGAGTAGTCTGCCTAGTAGGGGYAACGCTATCAAACATAAAAAAATCCCCTATTTTAACTGTCGATGGAATTAATTTAAATGCAYCTTATCAAATAAAATGCTATCATAAAGACCTAGATTATTTGTTCTTGCAAAAGGACAATGAAGTGTCTGTATGATCTTGAAAATGTTATAAAAGTATAATAATCATTAATACTTTTTCTCACTGCCAACCTTAATGTTTTTTGCAATTATCTGCTTTTAACCTATCTAATTTGTTTGTRCGTTGATGGAAATTCTTGGATATCAAATCCGTTGTTACAGCAAAGCCCAACCTTTCATTCTCCAGTGGGAAAACGGTAGGGGTGGATCCAGGAGTTTTTAAGAGGGGGGCACTAAAATGCCGCGAACTTTTGGAGGGGAATTTGCATGACGGATTAGCTTGGGGAACGTATCAAACAGACGTTTCCCACTAATGACTAGCGAATTGAWYRGGAAACTAGCTAATTCACTTGTTATTTTWCATCAGTTAGAAGATTTATTTGTTTAACTGAAACATGTACGAGAATTTAATTTTTGCCAATAAGTTCAACAAGTTGCCACCCATGGACAACTTGGATGACGAGAACCAAAGCAAGGGTGATTATTACATCTTTACAACGTTTCTTCCTATTTTTAGGATTCTCTTCGAATTCTTATTTAATTTTTCACAAAAAGGGGGGAGGGGCACCGGCCCTTACTGTGTTGATACTATGCAATTTTCTGTTTTTTGTCCCAATCAAGGTTGCACAGGTCTAATAATACTTGTATACRCCACCAGTTCAATTAGAATAAAATAGACTGCGGTGATACAATTACTTGACAGAAACATCAAGTTTTGACAGAAAACATTTTACAACATCRAAACGTAAGGCTTATTCTAACCCTACCATTACCATATGCAGAGACTARACAAATAAAAAAGAAAATTATGTTAATGAGATTATATTTTTRATCGCATATCAAGATCTCGCAAAGAATCTTTTAAAACGTTTTTCCTTCTCGAAGCCAGATAGAAGCTACAGCTCAGATAAATAGCCAAATTTTGAATTATTTACAACGGTTGCTAATTGATATACGAAATATTACATAAATCGCGTGACACGGATGCTATTTAAAGTTATTTAAAGTTGCGCATATATATTGTAAGGCCAATTTTCCGTGCAGGTCGCAGACTTATAGTTTTTCTAATCAGTTATCAATGGTATATACGTATATACGGCGAGTGGTGACGCTCCACTTGACACTCTATGCAAAATTAATGGAAGTAGCACCTAGCGGATTCAAAATATCCAATATCCTGTACTAATAAAAATGTGAACTCGTTAGGGACT